AAATTAATGCTATTATATTTCTTTACATGAGATAATTATGACATACTTAATCCTACAGTTGTAATGTGCTTTAACATACAGACTTCATGCAGTTGAACATACAAAATACTGTTGATTACTTGTTTTCAATGATATTTCTTGTCATGAATCAAACAATTAACTTAAATATCACGTGGATGATACATGTAGTTTAAAGTAAGACATGCATGCTGATGGTAACATAAATACAGAAGGCTGGTTCACAGAATCAAGTACGTAAAAAAGAGTAATATTATTGATAAAGGTATAGACAATACACAAAAACGTAAATAATGCCACAGGCTTACTGAATCTAGGGATATTTGGATCAGAAATTTGATATCGTATCCCTTTGTTATTTGGAATTTGGATTTTGTTATAATGATTCTGATCTACTTCACATACTTTCCCATATTCTGCATCCAATTTCTACTCTTTACAGCAGAACAAATCAAATTTAATCTTGATTCCTTCTGAAGGGTGATCATTTTAAATTCTGCAATCATGCTAATTTTCCCAAGTTGCTAACGCCCAGGCCCTTTATAAGATGGCATACATTGTGTATGATCATAAGTGAAGACGTCAAAACATGAACCAAATGTACGAGCAGTATTTGTATATTTTCAAATGATGGGGGGAAAAAAGGAAACAAAAATTAATAATTTTTCAAGCTTACAAGTACTGAACAACTAGCTGTGTATTATGGATTACTTCCCTTTCATTAGCATCCAGACCATTCTATCAGTGTCATTTCCAGTCCTTAATATTTGATATTGAGACTTTGATACTTCCGTACCATATGGTGAGTTTCTGTCTATGATGTTCGCCATTTCTTTCATTTTTGTAGATTTTTCCATCTACATGTGTGACGTTTTGACTGATGAACAAATATTTGAGCATATCAGACAAAATCACATCTCGCTATTGGAAATGAAATCCTCGGCTCTGTCAGCGACATTAAACTTATCTCAAATATTCAAAATACCTGACGAAAGTGAATAGAAGCTCGATTATCACCTGACCACATGTCAGCCTCTAAAAAAATCATTCATCAGAAAAATAGTAATAAATTATCTACACTCTTTAATATGTTTTAATTATCATTCTTGATATAAATCATGGTGTAATGATGTCTGACCAATTAAAAAACCTATGAAAGAATGATATAGAGTCTCCATCATCTTCACTGCCTCGACTATAATCAATCCTGTTCCTCACTGAAGCTCCTTCCATTGGTCGGAACGTCGTGCTGTGATGGACACTTGACCGTCCTCCTCTCCATGGTTCTCCCAATTGATGCATCGACTCTTAGTAATTGGCCGGTATATCTGAAGCCTCACCAACTTTGGTGATTGACAGCTCCAATACCCCACACTGCCTCCCTCTAGGTTGAACTAGTCAACATTAAGTTATTCAAGTCATCAAATACGGTAGAAATCAGGATGTCTTTAACGACGGTTCAAATCCTGAAAACAAAATTGACAACGATTACTAGAATAACCATGATGTGAAAAGTTCTGGAAGACTACAAGATTATCTCCTCTCAAATGTATTAAGTGGGTATTTTCAAATAACATGTCGCCCTTAAAAAGCGGTAAGCCAACTCTTTGACCGCACTCTTATTAATTAGCTGGAATATTTGAAGCTCCATACATTTTGGCTGTTGACAGCTCCGTGTAATACCCCACAATGCCTCCCTCATCTTGGTTGAACTATTTTCAGCATTTCCTCATTTATTTACAGCAACAAATACATGTTCAGCTTTTACAAGTCTTCATAAAACCAAAAATGACCTGTAACTAGCAGGCTTGTCCTTTAGTTAAACCCTATATGACCCCTCATTTGATTTTTTTTTTTATAATTTGTCATGTGTGTGTTAGTTTAGGGCATACTCACTCCAGCAATTGTAATACAATGATGGAAATATAACACTGATGATAAGTACTGTTATATAAATTTTCCTACCTGACGGCGTGAGAACTAAGAACGTAAGTATGTCGGACAAAGACACCATGCCAACCACGTGCATGTCATTGTCTGTGATCACCAAACGGTGGATCTGTGGAGAGAAAGGTCAAGGTCAGATAAGGATTTAGACAAGCTGTTTTTGTTGAGTTATCTCCCTTAATTAACCATACATATATATATATATAATAAAATTATTCTCTTCAATAAACCATATATAACAAGTATTTTCCAGGGGTTTTTTTCTTTCTTAATGTGGACATATTTTGGAAAGGTGTTTTTAAGGAATTGTGTGTTTGGTTAAATTAAGATTTGCTGTAAAATATGCATTTGTTACTCAATTCATCTTACCTTTTTAAAAAGTCAACAAAAATTATTATTTTATATAATCTTTTTTTCTAAAACATAAATATGCCAAGTAATATTTCTATAAAGGACAAACAATACCATTCTGTAGAGATTTTATTTTTAGAATTATTGTATTGTATCTATAATGTTAAACTACTTACCTCTGCTCTGACAATCTTCTCCAGGACAGAATCTAGTGAGTCAGTCTCCTGACACGTCACAACTCCCTCAAACCAATTCTCCTACAAAAACAAACAGTTTGATTTTGTCAGGAACAGTTAAGCAGACGGAAATCTGTTAACTTAAAAAAAATCACATGTACATTATATCCGAAGCCAGACGAAAGAATTAAGTATGTCAGGAATACACTACATTAAAATATAGGAAAAACACATGCATTACGTGTTGGTATTATTGAATGTACGTACCTGTTCCCGATGCTGTAAAGCTTGTTCCACTGTTATGTCTAGGTTATTGTAAGACTTCTCCGCTGCCAGATTCTAAAATAACACATAAAATAGACAATGAGTCTCAACCAATAACAATCCCCCACCCAAGAGGTATGAATCTACATTGTTATGTTATACAGAAATCATCCTTCTTTCTCAGAGATGAACATTTTAATGATGTCAAACTTTGTGTATTGATCACTATTTTATTGGTGTAGCATCAAGCACTTCAAAGACACAGGCTTGCAATATTATTACTGGAAGTCAATGGTGACAAAAATGGAATATATATCGATACTGTCAAACATGAAATAGCAGTTGATAGATGGACAATAATATATTGGCAGACTTACGATGACGTCAAACTTGGCGTATATATTGACGACACGTTTGTTAGCGTCGAGGACAGGAAGTGCCGATATTCTGTGTTCCACAAACATGTTCAGGGCCTTGAACAGCGGTGTGTCTGTTGTTGCCTGGCAACAAAGTTAAAACATTTATACATACAAGTTTTTTTCAAAAATGTTTATAACTTCTTGATCCGTAACAAAACTGAAGTTGTACTATGAAGTTGTTATCATATACATAATAACAATACAGCCATGTGTCCACAACAAAAATGATAAAAGTATGTTAAAATGAAGATATCGCCATTTCACCAAACACACATGTCTAGCTTTTCTTCTGGCTTTGTATTTGCCATTGAAACTCTCTTCAATTAGAACTACAAGCTTTATTCTCATAAAAATCTGGCTCTTGTGAGAGATTGAATCAAAGCCGTTATCGGGTGTCCTACATTGTACAGTGATGTACGTTTACTCAATTTCAATCTATGACCAAATATTTTTGCATACTTTGCTCAATCAGTTCAGTTACATCTGAAGCTAGTGTCCTCATTAGCAACTTTAAGTTCACTCTGAAGAACAACTGGTAATTAAAAGTTCTGAAGAACTCAATTGTTAACAAACGATATCTCAGAAAACTTCTTCTCACAAACAAACAAACAAAACATTCTGATCCAACTCACCGTGATAACATTGTTGTATGTTCCTATGGACAACTCCTTCAATGTCTTCTGCATATAGCTAGGCTTTGGTAGTTCATTGATCTGTCAGTGGATAAAAGTAGGTCATATTAATACAACCTAAGTTTAAACGTTAGATCAATACAACTTACTAAAATATATGATTTACCTTGATTTACCTTGAAAGGGTATTATCATAGAATATTATCATAGGAAACAAAGTCATTATAAATGGATTGATGTTGCATGATATCTAAAAATGAATAATTTATGAATAGGAAAATAAACTTTCCTTGTCTGTTTCAAATGAACTATATTTTCAGCGACGGCGCATAGCAGTGATTGTACTTTGTAGCGACATCACTGACCTGTCCGCCTTAAGAAAAACACTGCTTCTATTTCAAAATGTGCCATCAGAAGAAATGTTTGTAAATGGAAGTAATGTATTTCCTTACACTACCACACACTTTAAGTACTCTATATACGTGGTCGCGTGCCTTTACTTACATAAAGATACAGAAATCGCAGAATCCGTTTGTGAGTGAGGATGTAGATTGCGTTGCCCGACGGTCTGTCGATGACTGGAAGTCTGTGTACATGTTTGTCGATCAGAGTCTTGATAGCGTCAAACAAACTAGCATCTGGGTCAATGTACACAAACGGTTTCTGTTTGTCCTTCAGCTCCTCTACAGGAAACAACAGTTATTTGGAAATTATAATAAAAAAATGAGAGAAAAAAAATGAAATATAACTAAAGAAAATCTTAGGAATATGAAACATTTTTAATTAAAGAAAGTAAGAACAACTTGGAATTATGATGAAGTAGAAATACTAACATTTTAGGGGTCAAAATAGGGTCATAATGAAAAAAAGGCTGGTGTGTACTTAATTACAACAGATCTGATCTTGACAACATTATAACTAAACTTCTGTTGATAATTTGATTTATTATTTTTTCATATTATTCCCGACAAGTGATTGGACAGGAGTGTATCATGTGTCCACCGATAAAAACTGATATTGACTTGGAGCGCGTGATTTTTGTTGAAGGACTGGGTGTTTCTAAAAATAGAATTATGACGAATCTCCAAACGAACGCATCGTCCCGTTTTCGTAGATTTTTGATGTGAATTTTTTTTCAGATTGCTAACATTACTCTTTTGAAAATAATAAAACAATTGTAGCCTTGGACTTCGGTCGATACCATGATTTATCGACCCGAGAAATCCAGGTATCGACCTCAGCCAAAGGCTATAATTGAATAGTATCATTTGTCCGTGTGTGATAGGGGATCATATAATCCCTTGAGAAAAGTATGCTTTTCTGATATTTCATAAAAAGCAAATAAATCCTCCTTAATGTTGATCAATTCCAAATTCCAAATTGATTTTGTACTTTGTTACAAGTTTAGCGATTGTTTACTAAAAGCACATGTGACCCAAAAAACAGCTGTAAATATTATTATGAATGGCTGTTTTTTCCCTCATGGGACTGCTTTAATGATTTACCAACTTGGTCAGAACTTACCCCGCCAAGTCTCTATCTTGTGCTCTTCAAGTTCATCCATTCGTGCCTGAAATCAAATAAAAATGCAGGTAAACTGTAAAGAATTCTATTATTATGATTGATTGATTTGTTTTTATTTGTTCACTACTGCTAATGTGTTATGATGATAGGGAAGGTCGTGTGAAGAGGTACCCACAGGGGACGACATCACCCAGGAGTAACTTTAAAGTGTAATCTCACTGACATTTTATAACCTGGACATGGTTTCCTAGCTTCCATAAGATTTGAAAATATATGCATTTATTTACTTAAGTAAATACATGTAAATTTGACATATCTATAAGTAAATACATATAATTTTAACAAAAGGTATATTTGGTTAAAAGACAGGGTTACTTTAAGGGAGGTAACTCAATTCAATTTAAACACAATGTTTAATATGTACTGTAGGATATATCTTTAAGCTATTTATAGTAGAATTTGACCTGTATGTCCTTGTCAAGGTCCAGTGACTACAAATTTTGATAAGGTCATTGCATAAATCATCTTGTTATGATGGACACTTTATTTGAATAGAATAAATGTGTCTGATAGGTGGTCTTACATGCCCCCCCCCCCNCCCAGTGTTATATACTTCATCAAGTTATATGTCATTTAAAAACTGATACTTATCACATTACGAGTTCAAAAGTTCAAAATATATACCAGAGTTATCCTATTAAGAACATCTCAACATCTCACAATTTACAGTGAAAATGAACTACTAAATACATCAGACCACCCATTGTAATGCTTGATTATAATTACTAGTACACAGATTTCCCCAGGATAGGTCAGTGGTATCTAAGGTTAAAATCAGGACATCATAATGGTATCTATAAGTGGATTATGGCATGTATAGTTGTTATGAGTGCCATCTGAATAAGGATAAATATTATAACAGTTGCGGATCCAGAGACCTATGGGGGGGAATTCAGGAAAATAGTGAAAATACATGATTTTTAAAGAAAATTCCCAGGCTAAGGAGGTTTCCTGAAGCCAAAAACAAACTTTGGATCTGCCACTGTATAATACCATAGAGCAGTAAAGATATATTGAATTCAACCATAGAGCAGTAAAGATATGATATTGAATTCAGGGTCCTACAAGACATATATATGGTACGTATCTTACTTCTTCATGGAAACATGAAGATATAGTAACATTTACATGTTTATTTGTTTATTGACATTTATAATGATAATGGCATTACATACAGTGACAAGTTTGTTAGATAATGCTTGAGGTGAAAAACACAAAGTATTACTTTTACACAGGCAACAGACGCCTTTCAGAATGTATTTCTCACAACACCAAATAAAATTGATTAAAATTTCGTTATTTAGTTTGTGGATATGTAAACATTACAGGTAGATGAATTTTCAATGTTTAACATATTGTGATTTTGTTTGCCTCTATAAGCTAAAAATTGAATTGAATTTGACCCTTTCACCACTGAAGACCATCAAGGACTCAACCAGATCAATGTATGGTAGAGTTTAGTAAAGTTAAAAAGGGGTGAAAGGGTTAAGTTATATCTTACAAAGATGAAGTAGAATAAATGGGATTGTTTCCATTGAAATGAGATGAAACATGGTTTATTTCATGGAACACCATATGGCTGTCCCATGTCATGTAGCGTCCATCGGCTTGAAGGACTTTTTACATACCAGAGTGACATACATTCGAAATGTACTTAGTATTTGTTTGATTCACCAAACAGAATGTAATGAGATACTGAAAAGTAACAAGATACTATACATGTATACTACAAAGAATATTACACAGATGTTTGTTTGAAAATAAACTGATAATATTTTTACCTCTGGAGACTTGTAATATTTATGTAGAATGTTTATGAAGTCTGTTATCGTCAGCATACCTGTAAAAAAATAAAAATAATTAGTCAAAATTTCTCAAGAACATAAATCATCTTCTTAAGATGTCAATAGATATCTGTGAGTTTAACATGTGTTACAGTCCCTTAAAGATGTGATCAATAATAAATACTCAGAATTACTATTTGTCTTTCTATATACACAAACACTTTTGTGGGTTTTTTCATGTATTCCATTGAATATTGATTCCTTTTATACTTCTGTACGTTTCAAGGTTCAACAAATTAGAAATATTATAAAATAAACATGAGTCAATATTTGACTTAGTGTAATATTGTTGGCAGTAATACACGACTATTTATTGTACCAGACAACTATATATACATCTAGATGTCTATGTATACAATCCCCCTCACTTGAACACACAAACTTGAGATGTTCATTACATAATATACAGATGTATATTGTACCCGTGTTAACCTTCAGACTTAAAAATATAGGAAACCTATGAAGTAAAAAGATTTGACAAAGCAACTATTTGGACAGAAACCAGATCTTGACATCCAAGGTATAAATCTACTTCATAACAAGGTAAACAAACACAGACAAACTGGATAAACAGTTTGTTCAATGATGTACACTGCACGTAAATCTTACAACATTACCTGATATCATTATTGTTACCTGCATGACTGTTAAATCTTAAAATGGTCATGTCTTACCAGTCGCTGTTCTTTTTCTTTACAGAAACACCATTCTAGGTGAGAATTAAATCAAAATTATTGATAGTGTAGAAAAGAACTTGTATTTAAAATTTATACCAAGAAACATAAAATCACGAACCATTGTTGCAAGAACTTTGATCAAGAATCCAATTTTACAACGATCTTGCCAATTAGTAGGGACAAATTTTATAAAAATAAAATATTTTTTTTATGAAAACTTGAGGTTATACACCAACATTTTGCAGGCTTTGACAAGAAACTGTTCTTACAAAAACCTTGATAGTGCTAGAAGGCCATTTTTATAAGAACTCCGAAACACCCAGCTACAACATCAGAAGGACGAAACACCCAGCTATAACATCAGAGGGACGATTATTTCTCTAACCCAGATACTTTAGGCAGTTTGATACAGTAAACACATATGTGGGGAGAGTGACCTCGGTTAACACTTGATATATACAGACACAGGTAAGGTGATTAAATTTGCATATATACTCTGAAACACCTGGTATAAACATCTCCTTAGATAACCCACATCTCCAATAACTGCCCTCAAGATTGTACAACAGACTCATATACAACAGAGTTACGATTTCAACAGTCCATACAATTTAAGTTTCTGTTTTGAATCCGTCCAAATATTGTGAAATAATGTAAACATGTAAAGTCATAATAATTATAATATAGCAATAAACACACTAATCAATTTTTGACCAATATATTAACATTTCCATTGTTTTTACTGTTAACAGACTACAGATCTAGAGCCCTGTCTGCATAAGATAAATATAAAGGTATCTCATAGCCCTGGGGAATCAGACAATAGTTTATTGACCCTAAAAGTACATTAGACCTGTTGTTATAATCAGCATGATCTGTTTTCTTATATTCTTATATTACAAACTGTCTGATTTATTATGTTTTCATGGCATGATTTACTGATTAAGAAGTTTATTGGAATGACCTACCTACTTAAGTGACCTATATTTATACTTACCAACATAATCCTGTCTGTGATGACCTGCTGACATAAGTGACCTATTTATTTAATTTTTAAATAAATGACCTGTTTTTAAGTGACGTATCTTTTACCTAAGTGACCTATATTTATACTTACCAACACAATCCTGTCTGGATTGACCTGCCAACTTAAATAAAGTGACCTGTTTTATACCACGTTGACCTATTTTCATACCCAAGTGATCTATTTTATACCTCAGTGATCTATTTTTAAGTGACCTATTTTATGCTTACCAACATAATCCTGTTTAACATTGTCCCAGAGAGGAGCCGCCCGAACACCATTGTACACCAGCGCAAAAAATGCCTTTTTTACCTGAAATGATACAACGTTAGAAAAATCATTAAAAACAATCAGTCACTATCTTATAACAAATAACAAATGTTTGTGAGTCCACATTTCAGTAAGACAGTCAGGTCATCAACAAAGTTCTAGTGTTCATGGGTAAATCCAGAAAATCAGTATCTTTTATCAATGGAACGTCTCTTTAATCTGCAAACGTTGTCTCTGAAATTGATTCCTGAGCAACAATATTGTTTATGATAAACAAAAAAGGAAGAGTCACTAAGAAGAAATTTGTCCCAGATTATACACATCTTGAAATGGATTTTTCTTGATTATCAAAGTTATAATTAACAAGGTTTCACTGATGGAACCAGGAGATATTCGACTGCCCTTCTTTATTACCATACATTTAATAACTTTAGTCATTAAACATCCACAAATCAAAATTAAAAAGGTAAGAGTGATGTATATATCCTTCTTCCCACTATGAAGGGTTTCCGACGGTGCAGATTGATGAAGACTATGGATGCCATGCATCATTATTTTTTCAGCTAAAACTGCGTAAGTTTTCATCTTATTTCACGACAAGAACAATCAAATCCTGACGTTAATGCATTCTTTTCCGTTTTTTTCCTTCCAAATTTTATTTGATTATTGTTTTCATTAATTTTTTAAAAGTTTGTACAACCCTATCAAATTGTTGTAAAACTCTCTGTCAATAGCTTTAATTTTCATTAAATACGACAACACTGCAGTATACTAAGGACGAAAGTGATATATAACACTGAATTATGTTACAGTATGCGATATTTCCAATTAAATCTTACAATATCTGTTTAATTGACAAGTTGGCGCCACATAATTAAATTACATGAATATTAATGTATTGATTTTTAAGTTTATGTTTTTAATTAAAAAGGAGCTCATTTCACAAGCCGTCACTTAAGACTGTAGAATATCAAAAAGAAGGTCAATACACAGTAAAGAATTGTAATTTCATGACTGATATTTCCACTGAACAGGACAGAAATTTCATCTTATGTATAGTGCTGCTTTCCAAAGTCGGTTACTGTATGTGGCAGTGTCCTTTTGATGGGATTTCTTTGAAATAAAAGATACCTGGGTAGATATGTCTCCATGGAAACCGTTGAAAACAGACTTATAAACGTTATGGCTGACATACTTGTCCAGAATTTATTACATATTTTATTTTACATTATTTTGGTTACATCAGTACGAAAAAAATAGAATATCTCAATGTAATTCCAAAACTATTTTTCCCATGAATTAGATGTATTCATTGTATGTTATATACATTTTTTCAGTTAAGATCACATTTTCTTTATTTACTGTTCAAAGAAACATTTCAGAATACAACATAGGTATAATCACCAAATGAATTAAAAATGAGAAAACACAATTACATATTTTACCTGTCTAACAGGTATAGCAGGTTCGCAGTAAAAATATACATATGTTTTGTTTCAGCTTGCCAATCCTAATTAATCTCATAACGTACAAAATAAGCTAAAATGTGTTTACCGTCAGAATTACGTCTACAGATGTCAGGGCTAATTACGGTGTTGTCAGGTAAATCCTAACCTATCAGTGTTACACAGGTCTTCAAAAACAAGTGCTCCAGCTGTTTTTGCCTTTGTATCACCTAACTAAATATATGATTCTGTCGTGCTGTGTACAGAGAGATTTTTGTCAGTTAGAACTTGAAGAATTCCCTGAAACAATTATACCAACAGCTGTATAATTTGTTAGCATATTTGCACCAAAAAATTCTCCCAAAGCATTAAAAACCATGTTTTTGTGATTCAATGAATTTAGATTTAAGGCTATATGTAACGCTTAAACCTTTGACTTATGTTAGAGTTACCTCCCTTAATTACATTTAAATCAGCATGGTCACAAATACACAACAAAGGTGTTATCAATAAATCAACTAAGGTCCAAATTACATTTATTAATATATAACAGGTTTGTTTTAGTGTTGAACTCTCTAGTAAAGGAGATAACAAGTCACAATTAGGGAACAAATGTCCTTAAGTCATGGATGTCTCATTCTCCCTAACTTAAGAATGACCTTGTCTATTTCAATGACAGATGCTTTTATTTCTGATAACTTTGTCCTTATTTTAATTCACCAACTTGTACCGCAGTTCTACTGATATTTCAGTACATTTTTCAGACATCTATGATTGACCCTGAAAATTAGCCGGTATTTCTATCCTTGCTGCATTTATCATTAACTCATTCACCCCTGAAATTTCATAATGAACTATTCCAATCTTTGAGTTGGAACAGTTAAAATATGTTTTATATTAATACAACTTAAATCAAACAATCTAGCCAACCCAGAATCAGATAAACTGAAGTCCGAACACTCCCATAAACTTAAACAGATACAGTTTGTGACAAACATTCCTGTATCCATTTAAACTCACATACAACTAAATCAAGCATTCCTTCTAACTCAAACTCACAACTAAATCAAGCATTCCTTCTAACTTAAACTCACATACAACTAAATCAAGCATTCCTTTTAACTCAAACTCACATACAACTAAATCAAGCATTCCTTCTAACTCAAACACAACTAAATCAAGCATTCCTTCTAACTCGAACTCACATACAATTAAATCAAGCATTCCTTCTAACTAAAACTCACATACAACTAAATCAAACATTCCTTCCAACTCAAACTCACATACAACTAAATCAAGCATTCCTTCTAACTCAAACTCAGATGTAACTTAATATATTAAACACTCCTAATTTGGCCTGCTCAGATTCTAAAGAAAACGATACACAAACATTCAAATTCACTATCTCATTCATGGAAAAAGTATAAAGGCAAAAAAATTGTATATTTATAGTAGGAGGAGAGTTAAATTCCTGGTCAGACAATCCCACCAATTATCACCCCAGTTTTATCTCTGCAGTAGGTATTTCATCTTATAATACCTACGTGAGAAGGACGAGTATTGATTCTCTAGTTAGATCTGGACTGTCTAATTCACCAGCAGCCTGCCTATCTGAACATGTCGATATCGCCAATGTACACTTCAGTCCGTGTTTTGGTTCTAGACTATAACCTGTGGCTGGAAGTGCTCATGTTTGGAATACAGAAAACCCTGTGATGGTGTATTTATTGGTTCATGCATGACCTTGAATTCTGAACACACACAAAAAGTGCACTGTTTTGTATACTGGTTCATGATCTTCATTCTTATAACAGAACACTGACACCGAAAACTCTGTGACAGTGTATTGGTTCATGACCTAGCTTGCATTCTGAACATACACAAAAAGTGCAGTGTTCTATATATTGGTTCTTGATATTCATGCTTATTACAGAACACCTACCCTGAAAACTCTGTGACGGTGTATTGGTTCATGACCTAGCTTGCATTCTGCACATATTTGTTCATGGTCTTCATTCTTATTATAAAACACCGACATAAATATCTGTGATAAGGTATATTATTAGTTCATGGCCTTCTGAATACACAGCAAATCCAATGTTCTATATATCGGTTAATGATCTTCATTCTTATTACAGAACACCGACAGAAAGCCTGAAGACTGTATAGAGTTAATGGTTAAAGATTGTAATCTTCCTGACAAAGAAAACCGACGATAATTGTCTTGTGGTTAACACCAATGTTCCTTACTGAATTTACAATCAGAACAAACATCATAAACTGTCTTCTGTATTTTCAAAATTTTAGTCATGTTCACAACATCTAGAAAAAGAATCCAGCATATTAGTGCATAAGTTCAAATTGCTAAAAATACAGGACAATAAGAATCAAACAATGATCTATCGGTTTAAATCCCTTAACATACAGGACACCAAGAATCAAGCATTTGTGTGTCGGATTATGGCTATATAAACACACATAAATACCAAGACAAGAGGCCCAATGGGCCTGAATTGCTCACCTGGTTTTAGTTTTACATTTGTAATCTTAAAAGTGGACTAAAATACAGCTACAGGCAAAATACATATATGTACCTGTGTTTGACTCAAAAGAATCTATTAAAAGATTTAAACATGTGACACATGTGACCTTGAAAGTCAAACAAGGACATTAAGTTGAATTGACTTTTTAGTCCTTCATACCAGCATGCTTCTGACCAAATATCATTATCCTTGACCTTTAGATTATTCAGAAGTTGTTAAAAAGATTTCAACATATTTTACCCCTGTGACCTTGCAAATAGGTGAAGGTCATTCCTTTGAACAAACTTGGTAACCCTTCATCCCAGCATTTTACTGGCCAAATATCATCACCCTGGTCCTTTTGGTTATAAAGAAGAAGTCATTTACAGTTTTCAACATATTTGACCCCTGTGACCTTGAATTTAATCCAAGGTCATTAATTTGAACAACTTGGTAGCCATTCATCCAAGCATGCTACTGGCTAAGTATCATCGTCCTATAGGTCTCTTGGTTATTCAGAAGAAGTTGTTTAAAGGTTTTAAACATATTGGACCCCTGTGACCTTTAATATAAGCCAAGGTCATTCATTTGAACAAACTTGGTAGCCCTTCACCCGAGCATGTTACTGGCCAAATATCATCACCCTAGGCCTCTTGGTTATTCAGAAGAAATAATTGAAAGATTTTAACATAATTGACCCCTGTGACCTTGAAAATGGATGAAGGTCATTCATTTGAACAAACTTGGTAGCCCTTCATCCAAGCATGCTACTGGCCGATTATCATCATTCTGGTCCTTTTGGTTACTGAGAAGTTGTTAAAAGTAAAAAGTTGACACAGACAGACGGACGCCTTAACCACTCTGCCACTGCAGCCCTGTTTGCTATGGAACTCAGTTTAATTTTCTTTGTATATCAATGTATTGAAATTGTCACTTAACCCCGTTAGTTACAATAATGTTTACGAAGATGATAAAAGATGACAACCTACACTGGTTGACATCTCTGTGACAAACATCACTAGTTGACACCTCTGCGACAGTTTCTGGTAGCATCAGTTTAGGTGACGTGGTTCTT